TTTTTTTTTTTTTTTTTTTTTTTTTTTTTTTTTTTTTTTTTTTTTTTTTTTTTTTTTTTTTTTTTTTTTTGTTGATTTTGAACTGATTATTATATATGAGCATCTTTGTGTGTTAATTGGGTGCTGTGATGTGTAATTGCTTAAGGGTTACAGCTAGATAGTTTAGAACTTCATTGGGATTAGCAATTTGACCTCAAGCTTTTCCTTACATGAAATCTCTCGAAATTAGGGTATGACCTAATTTTGTTTCTTTGGACTTTAGAGAACATAAAGGCACTAACTTTTTCATTTTTTGTGTATATGTTGAAACTTGCTCATATTTGGTCTTCCATTTTGACAAATGGGGAAGTGTAAGAAAGCTGGATTTGGGGTTAGATTAATGATTTCATAGCTAGGGTTTTGTCCGTGATTAATTTGACGTTACCCTTGGTGCACTGCGTTTTCAAAAGCTTCATGTAAGTAGTAATTGAAATGTTGAAGAGGAGACAACCCGCTCTTGAACTTTAGACTATGTGTGTTGTGTGCTTGATCTAGCAATTTTGGACAACTGTTTTGCACTAAACTCAAGAAGAAAGAAAAGAAAGAACTTGGAGTTTGAGCATACATAATAAGTTGTTTTGTCATCTAGCTCGAGCTGTTCAAAAAGAAAAAGAGATGAGAATGTCGACTTGAGCAACGCAAATATTGATGAGAATACGATGCCCTAAAAACCTAAGGGTTCCTCTGCAAGGTTTGTCTACGGAGGGTGAGTCGGAGGCTAAGATCAGGTCAAAAGACGTAGTTGCTGGAGAACATGTGAATATTCCTGTACTACCCCTTGTTGTAATTTGCTCATATTGTGATTCTTGGAGTCCTATATTGACTAATTAAGAGAAAGATCATCGATATATAAGTAAGGGACGTCATCTTATGCTGAAAGTGCACCATATCAGACACGAATGTGGAGTTTCGTAGTTTAAGGGTTATGAAGCTAAATAATTGTGGATTGAACAATTGAACTAACCAACTCCCATGATGCCAATAAGAGCAAGAACAATAATAGGCAATGAAGCCAAAAAAGGGATGATATCCATGGCAATGGAAGGTTGAAGGTAAAGGTTAGTTGTTTGTGGTTGGTGAAAGTGTTGCAGTTGAAGCCGCCTAATGTTTATGAGTGCACATGTGGTGCGAGACTGAGTTTAAGACATATGGAAGGTCAAAGGAACTAAGCTAATGTGAGCTTATATTTGTCTGACTAAAAAGTACCATAATTCATTCCACAGTTGTCTGTCTGTCTGCTTTTTTTAACAAATAATGTTGTTTTGTTTCCTACCCTTGACTCCCCACACACTGCTTCATGTTCAATCATCATCATTTCTTCCCATTGGTTCCTTTCATACCACTTTCAAAAACCCTAATTCCCACCGTTATGAGTTATTGTCCTTTTTGAACTTTCCCTTTTGGATGTTCAAATCCACCGCTAGGAGATATTGTTCTCTTTGGACTTTCCCTTCCAGACTTCCCTTCGAGGTTTTGAATTTGATCTTGTAATATTTTGTAACACAGTTGAAGCCCACCGCTAGGAGATATAGTAATATTGTGTAACAGTTCAAGCTCACCGCTAGGAGATATTGTTCTCTTTGGACTTTTTCTTTCCACCTTTCCCTCACGGTTTTAAAATATGAATGCTAGGGAGAGGTTTCCACACCCCTTATAAAGAATGCTTAGTTCTCCTCTTCAACCGATGTGAGATCTCATCTCACATCCTAAGCCCACTGCTAGCAGATATTATCCTCTTTGAGCTTTCCCTCAAAGTTTTAAAACGCATCCCCTAGGTAGAGGTTTCCACGTCACTTATAAGGAATACTTCATTCTCCTCTCCAACCGATGTGAGATCTCACATATTTTTAGAAAAACAGTATGGAAAACAAATTTTTCTCGATCATTTTCGAAGCTGCAGTCTTAGATCATTTAAAAATTGTTATGCTTTTTAGAAAGTGTGATGACCCACATTAGTTGAAGAGGAGAACAAAAAGACCCTTTGTAAGGGTGTGGAAACCTTCTTCTAGCAGACGCGTTTTAAAGCCTCGAGGGGAAGCCCGAAAAGGAAAATCCAAAGAGGACAGTATTGGCCAACGGTGGGTATGGATCGTTACAGAGTTTATAAGCTCAAGTTTTTAGGGTTTCAAAGAATTTTCTACCACAATCGTGACATAGAATCATAGAGATAAATGAATAATGTTGAAAAGCCTAAGCTATGGATTTTATTTTTGGTTTTAGCATATACAATTATTCACCCATTATCTCTTTTAGGGTTGGTCACAATCCCATTAGAGAGTTGGTAAGATTCCAAGATTCTCAACATTAAGTTTTGATTTCATAATAATTTTATACATCAATTCTCATGATTTTAGAATTGATTTTGTTACGGATGTAACTTTATAATAATAAAAAAAAACGTGTTATACTCACTCTCAGTCTCAAAATCTTTATAAATCATAACTTACACTATCCTACATGCTTCATTCAATTTTTTACGAGCTGAAATCAATAGTAAATAATCTAATACGTGCAATTTTTAGGTGAATTTGCTTCCTTCATAAACTTAAAATAATTTATCGTCTAATTTTTTACTTTCACATATTTTATCCTATTAATAATAAAAATAATATAGAGATATTTGAAACTTAATCAAAATTACTAGACATAATTTAAGCTAAGTGGCAGTAAAAATCCACGTAAGCTCCAAATTCCAAAAATCATATATATTTAAATACATAAAACAATTCAATATATATATATATATAGATATATGTATATATGTGTATAAATATATATACACACATAGATATATATTAAATGGATTCCGTGATTGGGGCAATATTCCAGCGCAGGATATGCCAAAACCAACGGCTAAACAACGACTTCCTTCGTCACTTTTTTTTTTTTTAATGAAAATAATAAAATAATAATAAATTTTACAAAATAGTTTTCTATTTTAAAAATAACTTCGTTTAAAAAATATTTATGAAATTTTAAAAGTAACATTAACACATTCTACTTTTATTAAAAAAAAAAAATTTTAAATTCTTATATAAACGATGACGGTCTATAAACATCTCATAAATTATCTCCAAAGATTTTAATGTTATTTTTTAAAGTTCATGGGTATTTTTCAAACGAGTACTAGCGTAAGAGTGTGTTTTATTTTTTTTTATATAATTTTTTTAGATATAGTGCAAAATAAATTCAATAAAAAAATAAAATGTATATATATATTATATATAGATTCCTTTAGATTAATTAACAAATCTCCTGTGGTACTCATGTAACAGCTCAAGCCCAAGTTCATCGTTAATAGGATATTGTTTGTTTTGGCCCGTTACGTATCGCCGTTAGCCTCATGGTTTTAAAACGTGTCTGTAGGGAGAAGTTTTCACACCTTTATAAGGAATGTTTTGTTTCTCTCTCTAACTGATGTGGGATCTCACAACTCATAACATGAATTATTAGAGATTAACGACTCCCATGCTGCACTCATAACATGTTTCACTTGATATTAACAGCTCCCATGTAGGAGTCATAGTATGTACTACTAGAGATTAATTAACGACTCCCATATAGTACTCATGGTGTATACTATTAGACATTAACGAACTCCCTTGTATTATCAATGTGAACTATTGTCCTTATTCAAACAAGTTCACGACTAAGGGATAGAGATTCTATAGTTGTTCCCAAAACCAAAAGCATAATTTTATTGTCTCATCTCATATCAGATCATTAATCGTAGTTTAGAGACATAGTAATTTGCAATCACTAATTGTAACAGTTCAAGCCCACCACAAATAGATATGGTTAGTTTTGGTCTGTTATGTATAGTTGTTAGCCTCACAATTTAAAGACACTTATGGTAACGAGAGGTTTCACACCTTTACAAGGAATGCTCTGTTCCCTCTCCAATCGATTTAGGATCTCACAATCCACCCCTTAGAGGCCCAACATCCGCGCTGGCACACCGCTTAGTGTCTGATTTTAATACCATTTGTAACAACTCAAGTCCACCGCTAACAGATATAGTTCGTTTTGGCCTGTTACATATCGCCGTCAGTCTCACGGTTTTAAATCGCACCTGTTAGGGAGAGATTTCCACACCCTTTAAGGAATGTTTCGTTTCTCTCTCCAATCGATTTGGGATCTCACAATCCACCCCCTTGGAGGCCCAACATCCTCGTTGGCACACCGCCTGGTGTCTAGTTTTGATACCCTTTGTAACAGCTCTTGGCACACCGTCTGGTGTCTAGTTTTGATACCCTTTGTAACAGCTCAAGTCCACCGCTAACAGATATGGTTTGCTTTGACCTGTTACGTATCACCGCAGCCTCACGGTTTTAAAACACGCCTATTAGGGAGAGATTTCCACACCCTTACAAGAAATATTTCGTTTCCCTCTCCAGTCGATTTGGGATCTCACAATCTACCCCTTGGAGGCCCAACATCCTCTCTGGCACACCGCCTGGTGTTTGGTTTTGATACCATTTGTAACAGCTCAAGTCCACTGCTAACAGATATGATTCGGTTTGGCCTATTACCTATCGCCGTCAACCTCACGATTTTAAAACGTGTCCGTTAGGGTGAGGTTTCTACACCCTTATAACGAATGTTTTGTTTCCCTCTCCAACCGATTTGAGATCTTACAATCCACCCCCTTGGAGACCCAACATCCTCGCTAGCATACAACCTAGTGTCTACCTCTGATACCATTTGTAACAGCTCAAACCCACCGCTAACAGATATTCTCCACTTTGGCTCATATCACCATCAGCCTCACGATTTTAAACAATAAATATATAGTTTTCTTGAACGAGTTCTTATAAAATTAGTGATTTCATGGAGTTTAGGGAAAGAAAATGAGACACGATTGGATGGAGATTTTGGAGAAAGGTACAAAAGTGATACAAACCCAGAAAATTTGGTGTAAAACAATGAAAACAGCTTCAAATGGGATGAAAGTCCTTCAATTAAAATGGGGGTTTGGAAGAAAATTTGTACATTTAACGGTAACAACGAATTTATTTATTGGTGAGTGTTGGTACACCCAAATCACCCATATCATCTAAATGGAAAGGAGGATTCCACAAACCATGTACTTCCAATGGCTTCCCTGAATTGCAACAAAACAAACCATGGCCACAAACAAAACAAAACAAAACAAACAAAAAAACACATCACTTAACTTATCTTAACATGGTTTCTTCACGAAGGAATGACTGTCAGAAGTTGTTAGACAGTAACCTGGTTTTGCACTTTCAGTGTCGATAATGCTGTTTTCGTTGTTGTGATTACTCGAACATCCCGACGTACTCGTGTCTCGTTTAGCCAACAGTGTGAACTGGCAATACGCAGTTCGCAACTTTTTATACATTTCTTCCAGCCTACCACATTGTTCATCTTTCCTGTCCATTTCAATGAGCACCTGAAAAAACAATAGCATGGTTGATTGAACACTTGTAAGAATAAAAAAAAAACGTGTTCCGTTTCGTGTTCGGCTACCTCTGCAGCTGTGTTTTTGAATATTGGACCGAATCGCTGCCTGCAATACTCGTGAAATAGGAGCGTGCCGATGATTAATGGGATTGTGAAACCTGATGCAACTGGAGATTCTTTTAGACCAAACACTCCCAGAGCAATTATTTGAGCTACTACCATAGCAAAGATGGTTGTGTTGTGAGCTATAGGCCAAAATTGTCCTCCGCTTTCGTATTTCGATACGTACACGTTGAGAATCTGAGATAAATAATGTTTCAGAACAGCCATTTGTAAGGTAGCAGCCATTTTCAGTAAGAAACAGAACATGTAAGTCGGTGTTCCGAGACCGAACTGACCTGGTTTTTGTAAACGAGGTAGGCAAGAAAAAAGTAAAACAGCAAGAAGGGAGTGATCAAAGGAGCCAAGATGCAACACGTGAAGCCGAGGAAACCGAACAGGAGAATTCGAGGAACCTCCGTGTGATATGGGAACGAAAGAGTTTCGAAAAGTGGTTCGCTCTTGATTCTAAGAATCCATCTTCTGATCAAGTTGCAAGTAAGAGGAAAAAGTTGCATAACTTCACAAGACAAACTTGCCCAACCAGATGATAGAACATAAGTCAAGAAGAAACTAGCCTGCCATCAAAAAGTATGCACAATGTAACACAATCAATCAAACAAACAAACGCACAAAGAGAGCGTTTTTATTTCACCTGTGCCGGTACCGCTTTGCCAAATGTAGCAGGTATATCCTTTACACTAAAAAAGACATTCAACGTACGAAGAATCGACCCCGTAAATACGTTAACGAAAAAGACGTTCCATATCGTGAAGTACAAGACTTTAAGGCATGCACTCCGTTTCCGCCCACTGCGAGAAATAGATCCCTCCAGGGCTGAAAACGACATCATAGTCGGTGGAACCAGATACATAAATAGAATCAATATGACGCTCGGTAAGTATCCGGTCACCAGTTCGCTCATATATTTCCTACACAACGACATGATCGAGTAAATTCCTTGTATTCATGTTTGTATGATCTCTACTTGCAATATTTGCACTTACTTTTTCAAGAGGCCTTTAAGGAATGGGAATGCTTGCTGTAATTGTTCCAGCTGCGTCATGCTTTGTACGAGCGTTACAGGAAGCAAAAACACGAGCATGAATGCGGTAGCAGCAACCAGTGTTCCTATCTTTCGAATCCAAAGTTGCCGATATGGTATAGAAAGGTTTGACCAATAAACATCATGAGGCGCTGGAGCTAAGTCTGTCGCCCACGACATAGGATTTGCTGACTGAAGAGCGGTCGCAGCCATAAGCGCAGCATACCGAGTCTTGAAGAATACAAAAGCAGCTGAACATTCCTGATTTAGAAAACGAAACGTGACTAGATATTACGTAGATCCGTTTTGGAACGGTTTTTTTATGTAAACATAACTAATCTCTGACCTTTTCTCCAGCCAACATGTCCATATCACCGTATAGGTTCTTATCTGTCACACTGTCATTTACACTTGGAAGAATCGCAAAAGAATTTGTTGGTCCTGCACAAAAACATCCTCCTTTGAACTTCTGACAGTGCATCTCGACCGAATTTTCCTTCATCATGTTGTACATTTTCTCTGCATCACTCTGAAAATTAACTTTGTCATGAACTTCCAAAACTGAACAAAGAAAAGCTTTGAAAAGATGAATTTAAAGTTCTTTTTAGAGAAATCGTTCACGGTTCTTAGTTCTTGATAGTACAAACCGTGTTTCAACCGTGTTTGTCCTCAAATTCTAGTGTTTCAACATCCCAACCGTCAATAAATGATGTCATAACATGGTCCTTGTAACCGCCCAACCCCACTACTAGTAGATATTGTCCGCTTTGACCTGTTACGCATCGTTGTCAACCTCACGGTTTTAAAACATGTCTACTAGGGAGAGGTTTCACACCCTTATAAGGAATGTTTTTGTGGTGTCCCACATTGGTTGGGGTGGACAACAAAACACCCTTTATAAGGGTATAGAAACCTTCCCCTAGCAAGAAACCTTCCCCTAGCAGACGCGTTTTAAACCTTGAGGGGAAGCCCGAAAGGGAAAGCCCAAAGAGGACAATATTTGCTAGCGGTGGATTTGGGCCGTTACAGTTTTGTTCCCTTCTCACGTGGGATCTCACAATCCACCTCCCTTGGGGGCCAGCGTCCTCGCTAGCACTCCGCCTAGTGTCTGGCTCTAATACCATTTGTAACAGCCCAAGCCCACCACTACTAGATATTGTCCTCTTTGACTCGTTACGTATCGCCGTCAACCTCACGGTTTTAAAATGCATCTACTAGGGAGAGGTTTTCACACCCTAAAAAGGAATGTTTCGTTCCCCTCTCCAACCAATGTGGGATCTCACAGTCCTAAACTCGCTTCATCACATTCTAATGTGCTTCAGCATATGATCCATCAGCCAATGTACGTTTTTAGTTCTCGGTTTTATAAAATATGAGGCCGATCATCCTCCCGGAAGTGAATTAGATGCACAGTGACGACATATTCAACTTGCTCATTCCTAATTCCAAACCAAAACTCGAGCATATAACATATGTTAATTGGTCTATATACATATAGTAAAGAGGGAAATGAACTTAAAATCAATGATGAATATGCAGAATGAGTTGAAAAATATTTCGTAGATACGTACCAACAGTTTCTGAACGGTACCCGACCGATATATCATTTGGTGCGACAAGTAACCGGATTCATGGTAATTGGTGAAGAACTTCCGAACAGTTTCACTATAAGATTCGTCTGGAGACCACGGAATCGACCGGACTAAAACCGTAAAATAAGTAGGATTCATTTGAGCACCAGTGATGTAGATAAGTCTCATTCTACTTATGCTTAAGTACTCCTGCAAATAATTAGTGCAATTAAGGGCAATGTTCAATAGGAAAATCCAAAAACATGGTACATAAAACATCCTGAGGAACTTACAAAGTAAAGGAGAACACAAGCCGAACAACATATGACGTATAAAGCGATACAATGGGCACAAAGCCTGATTAAGGGGAGACAAAATCAAGAGTCGAGTTAAGAACATAACAAGAAGTTAAATGCATAAGGTAAGGAGTGTCGAGATCGCATACCACTTAGAATTTTCCTTGATGTTCTCAATGGAAAAAACATCGAGCGACTCGGAAGGTATCAGCTTGTGAGTCGTTTCTTGACCGTAATAATTTACTGGAAGCACTAGAAACAGGCAAGTGATGGCAGCAATTGAAAAAACCCGAATGCTGTACAGCAAAACAATTAGCATCTGCAGTAAGCAAAATCAGGAAACTGAAATTTGTTTCAACATACAGGAATTTGAAGTTGATTTACAAGCACATTGCAAGAACACAATGAGCTTACAACCAAATGTTATAAGAGTTGCAACCAACCTGAAGATTATTATCCTGAGAAAAACCACAGAATCTAAGCCATCGAGAGCCAAAATTTCTTCCTCAGTTGTTTCCCAAGCTTTCACTATCCAACTAGGGGAAGGAACAAATCTATCAAAGCAAAAGGTTTCACAGTGTTTCAACTTTCTTGACGCAATCTTTCGACCGAAATACACCGTTATGTTGCTCGGTTGCTTTCGTAATATTGAATACAGAGAGAAAAGCACCACACAGATGCCAATATTGATACCAACTGAAGTTAGAAGCGCAGAAAATTCCATTTCACTTTACTTTATCACAGTCCCAAATGAAATTATGAACACAAAGAATCACCCAAAACTAGGCTTCACTCAGATTGGCTTTCGATACCTTTTGTGCTCTCTTCCTGCCCACAAGAACACCCAAAATTTCCATTCCACATAAACAAACAAGCATAATCCGACCCTTATACGAAGAAACAGAGATAAATTACGAACAAAACGAACAGGGGAAAGGGAAAAGTACCTGAAAAACCCGGTGAAGAACACAGCAGAAACCCTAGGAATCGATATTGATTATGAATCGAGGATCGAATTGGGAAAACTTAGAAGTGAAAGAAAAGGGATATTAACAAATAATCACAAAACTTATACGTTATGAACAGCTTTGCTTGAACTCCAAAGATAAAAATCCAAAAAACCCTTTTCAAAAAAGAATACCCAGATCGAATCAAACCCTAAAGTCTCACCCGTTTCTTCCAAACCAACTCAAAACAGATTAAGAAATGGAAAACAGAACAGTTTGGAAGTGGGTAAGCAATTGGAATACGCTGTCCAAACGGAATGTTAGTCGACATTCGAAGGAATGCCACGTTGAATGGTTATCACACAATCGAGAAAGATCGAGCGGGGCCAACGGAAAATCCACGTGGCGGGCAATGATTGAATATTATTTATCCGATTACACAACCGTCCCAACTGTTGGTTGTCGGCTTCCCACGCTCTTTTATACTGCAATTGTAATCCATCCATAATTTTATAATTAGGTTTTGACACGTCGCGTCTTTTTATTGGTTGAAGCCTATGGATCCGGAAATGTCAGATACACTCAATTGTTTGATTAATTAATGTTGGTTTGGCTGGACATCAACATGTGATTTAAATCATTGTTGCGTGTTAAATTAATGTGTTAAATTAATGGAATTGTGACGGATGACTACCATGACAATAATTTTTTTTTTTTTTTTAGGGAGGTGAGTTGGGGCGATCGTGAGACCGACCAACCCGGACTTTCCATTTCAAATTAAAAAAATTGAGTTGGGTTGACATTTTTTTAGTCGAGTCAACTTGATCAACTCGAAAATAGGATTATACCTCAATTCAACCCTACTTTATTTTTAAGATTATTATCTACCGCACATATTGACTTTCGTCCCTACATCCTCATAGAACTTGTAGGGGTTACCCCAGAAACTAGCATCACCATGTTGACTTTCGTCCATTAAAACAAGTTCATAATTAGAGGTGAGTTAACTCGTTGACTGTCCGTCCCCTCATGGGTGTCTCATCATTACTGTTAACCACTAAACATGGATCCTGAGACAAGACATAGCATCTAACATGACCTAAGCCTTTCACTAATTCAAGGCTCATTTCTCTAGCGTGGTATCTATCCCTTGGATCTATTTCGACTTTTCGTAAGCGGGCCCGAGCTTTTTTCGGGTCGAAATATGGCTTTCACATTAAGTTCTGAATTAGTGGATGGATTGGTGTTGTTCCTCTACGCCTAGGACACCAGAATATCGAACCATGAACAATTATGCATTGAGTTTCTGGTGGTAGATCCCGCTTAGCTCAGAGGTTAGAGCATCGCATTTGTAAATCATAACCCAATCAAGATGATACGGATCAACCCCTTCTGTTTTCCAGAGTTAAATCAGAACCCAGTCAGAGTTACATGCTAGTTATTTACCTTAGGTGTAGCCTTCTATGATTGATTGTTATGAGCTCTTGAGCTTGCGTGCCTAATTTGCATGAATTATATATTATGATGTTAGACGACGATTGCATGCACACTCTATTATTTTCTATGGCCCATTACTATGATAAGCTTAGAGATTTGTGGTTAGGAGCGACAAGTCACTCTAGCTAGACCTAACCTTTTCCTAGATTGCTAGTGTGTGAACAGTATCTCTAGCTTCATGGGAGGATCAAGGGTTCCTGATCAGTTCTTACTTCTCCTAGCCATTTGGTACGGGAAATGTATCCTCATGTCGTACAACCCATTAGATGCATGGGAACGGGTTGGGTGGCGCCCCTCATAGGGGGACTATATTGGCTTAGGAGATACTTAACACACCCCTAGGCTAGATATCATGTAGTCTCAGATAGCCAGAGGTAACGCCTCATAGGGAGATACCGACCATATTAGCTCGACATAAAGAACCTTTAGTATCAAATGAAAGGACGATGAACCAGTAAAGCCCAAGGGGCAAGCCCCAAAGGACTAAGATTAGAACCACCTAGCACCAAATTAGGAGACCGTGGGAACCTGTTAAGTTAGGATGCGAAGAGAGTCTACAAGTAAGTGGTTTACTGAGTATAATTTTTATACTCATCCTTGCTATGTTTTCCTTTTTCAAGAGCGAGAGGTGTCGGTCAAGGGCAGACGTGATGGAGATGGGGATTGTCACAGAGGAATAGGTTGTCCCGGGCGTCAGTCCAGTCTTTATTTTGTATCTGCATTCTTTAGTGATTTGTTTTCAAACTGTTAATTGTTTTTTTGTTTGTAGTTCGAAATTTTATTGGAAGTAAATGATTTTTCTCTATTGTATACTTAAATTATTTTGTGCATTCATGTGTCGTTGTTAGTCACGGTTTGTAAATAAAATGTTTAAAATGTTCGGATCATATTGAAAAGTTGATAATTTTTAAAATTTTTTAAAATACTTTTAAAATAAAATAAGAAAGTTTTTAAATTTTACAAATATTTTCTATAGCAAAGATTACATTTTTTTTTTCTTCAGTTTACCGAGTTATTCCTCGCAAATCGTAGTAGCGTTGATTTTACAAGTTAGCCTCATTTTCTAGCTTCTAATTCTCACCGTTCATTTCTCAATTCGCTTATCTTCGTCTTCTCCTTTGAATTTGCCCTAAACCCTTCTGAATTCTCAGAGAACGCCATTAATTAGTAGCACAAGCGAATTGAGACGAGACGAGGGTTTGTTCCTCAAGGCGGTGCGGGGAAGGGAGAAGAGCGGAATTGAAACGACGAGGAGGGGAGAAGGAATCCCTAAACCATGCTTTTAGGGTTTCGAATTCGACCGACATCTGCTATTAGAATCGGCTGAACGCGGCTTTCAACATTCAGAGGAGATGAGCGATGACAATGGCAAATCGGATAAGGATAATCAATGGCAATCGCCAAGAGCATCGCATCAACAGAAAGAGGAGGAGGATACGAAACTCTGGGGAATTCTTCTCTTCGGTTTGATCGGTGCCTCTGCCACCACTCTTGCCGTGAGTTATTTTTCTCAATCTTCGTTATTTAGCCTAGCTACTGGTGATTCAATTTTAATTCTCTTCGTTCTTGCCATGGAATTTTAAGCTTTGAGCTACGTTCATTCGATTTTTTGAAAACAGAAATTGGATTAGTGATAGGCAATGTGAATCTCGATCTGTAATGAAACGCGTTATTCTAATTTCATCAGTATATGCTATTGAAATGATCATGACTGTTATCAACTGACACAATAATCCTCCTCATTAATAATGAAGGGTAAGAAATTATCTGAATCTGTATAGTTGAGTATATTTGTAGTGATGTAAAATAATTTTCTGGTATATTTGGAAACTAATTCCATTAACTAGTTTTTCTCCATGGAGTTATTGCTTAATTTGACATTGGTTGTTCTTGGGCAGGTTAGTCATCTGCGGAGAACTGTTGATTGGGTATACACTCAGGTATATGCGTGAGTACATTAATGATGCTATCTAATATTCGATAAACTCGTTCATGGATCGACTGCTGCAATGTGAGGGAGAAATAGTTCATTTTGCATTTTTTACTGCTTTTAAGGCATATTTGGCATTGCTCCTATAATCATTTAAGTTAGAAAAAAAGAACTTGCACAAAAGAACTGGAAAGAAAGGATTTGGCGATATACGGTCGAAATATTGTGGCTGAGTTTGTAACTTTGTTGGACAAAAGTTGAGCAGGTCAAAATCATCATGGAGTGGAGGAAATGGCCGTTCTTTCCGGTCATCGTTTCAGGAGGATGCATGGAAAAGGTATAATCGTAGGCTGCAAGAGGAGTATGAAGAAGAAATGGAGAGGGTGGTAAGAATTCTCTGGCTATTTATTATTTTCTTTGATACTTTGAATTTGAAATTTGATGAGAAGCTCTAGAGATGCTTTTTTGGCCAGAATCTTATTTGATCCTGTTGGCTAACCTCAAGTTTAGTTCTTGATTTAAGTTTCCAAATTCTCTCTCTCTCCCTCTTTATCTCTCACTTAATGACCATGATATGGGACACCACTTCTTGTATCATGTTAATGGCCTATCTCCTAAGAAGCATGGATACAGATACAGGCCACATACACGACACATTTGGACATTGTGACGTGTCATTTTTTAGAAGTCTAGGATAATGACCGAGGAAAGACATGTGTATAGAAGTAAACAATTTTTAAAATATATAGCATTTTTATACAATAATGAAATTCAAAGTCTGTTATATATTTATATGCTTAAGAAAACGAGTTTGATGTATTTCAATCCCAAAATTTATGATTTTTTTTCTCCTATATCATTATGTGTTGATTTGGTGTACTTAACAAATGTTCGTTATGTGTCTACAAAATGTACACCTATCTTGACTTTGTCAACTAGAGTCTTAACACATGTCTATTGTGCTAATAAGTGTGCAACAAGTGTTATAGTGTCCAAGTGTAATGCTCCATGCCCAATATTTAGATTAGGATATGAAATCCAGATTCGGCACCTAATGATTCTGACATTCCTTTATATCTTCCGCAACATGACCGTGTTATCTACCTGTCTTGAATTGCTTCTAAGAGTGAAGACTATCCCCACAAATTAACAATGGTCTTTTTAGCATGTTTTGTCTTCACTCACATGCTTAGAAAAATCCCTAGGAGATCACCTAACATAGAATTACTCCAAACCAAACACGCTTAACTTTGAAGTTCTATGATTGAGTCATCGAAAAAAAAGATGTACCTTGTTGGTATAGTTAGTAGCTATCAATTCTTTTTAGCATTTCTTAGTCATCATATCTTCAGTATCACTCTCATTCAAAAGTGATATCGGTTCATTTATTTATGTCTCCTTTACTCGGACATCACATGCCCATCAATTGTTGTCTTGGTTTGTCCTTGCACCACATCCTACTAGGAGAGATTCCGCTTTGATACCATCTATTTCAATCATCAATCATTAGGAGTGTTCGTTCATGTCTCCTTTACTCGGACGTCACATGCCCACCAATTGCTGTCTTGGTTTGTCCTTGCACCACATCCTACTAGGAGAAATTCCGCTTTGATACCATCTATTTCAATCATCAATCATTAGGAGTGTTTGTCGAACGTGGACATTAGTCAAACTTAAGTGTCAATGCTTCTTGGCCTGCCTCTGATCCCCCACGATGGTTTGCCCACTCACGGCCAGTTCCAGGAGGAAACAAATGTTTAAGTTATTTAGTATTCAACATATGATTTGAACACTGGACTTTGAAGCCATCTCAAAACAGTCCAAGTCGCTAGTAGTAGTGTCATGGCACTTTTGGGGTTCAAAGCTTTCAAATTCTTTATCTCACCACGACGTATTTTATCCTCTTCGCAACCTTTATTTTATTTCTTTCTCACCGTGGATTCTCGATACCTCGTCATTTTGTTTTTTGTCTTACTGGATCTCACTGCCCTGTTTGATTTAGGAGCGCATAAGGCGCATGCAGAATGTATTCAACCGAGAGAGGAACAAATACAAGAGAGGTTATGAAAGCTGGAGAGAGAATGATCCTGGTGCATATCATCAGCATCACCAGCGAGATGATTGGTATTGGAAGGCCGAGACATTTTACAGAGAGCAACAAAGTAATAATCATAGGGGAACTCCAAGAGTCAGAACAAGTTACTTGTTATCTCATCATTACACAGTTTTGGGTCTCGACAGGTGAATTTACTGTTTGATAACATTGCTTACGATTAAAATTCGTACAGTTTTTCCTTCCCTGTCCGATTTTGGTGAGGATTAAACCTGGCACTGTTCCTCTTTTCGTATATTGAGACGTTCGTTGTATGGTCACCTTCCATTCGCTGGACCCTGGAATAGTTTCATGGTCTGATGGATTTAGTTTCAATTGTTTGTGTTAAAAGTGACATCTTGTCTTAATTTCTGCTATAGGTGTCGAAAAACACCTTACACAGATGCTGAGATTAAGGTATGTTTAATTCTAATTCATTTAAGCTCCTCCTATGTTATTGTTACTAGAGTCGAAGCTTTTGCTGTCGGTTTCGATGAAGTATTTTATTATTCAAGTCCTGGGTTGTGAATTGAACTATTCATGATCACAGACAGCATTCCAATCCAAGGCGAAGCAGTTTCATCCAGATCAGAACCAGGATAATAAAGGTACCATGGAAGATAATCGACATTCTTTTTCTAATATTCATCTTCATTTTCTACTCTAGCTAGCTCCTTATGATCATTGTTTTGCAGAGGCTGCTGAGGCCAAGTTCAAAGAGGTGATGACATCTTACGACGCCATAAAGTTAGAAAGAAAGAGCAGTAGAGCGTAAGACAGACTAACTGCACGTCTCGTCGTCGGTGGAACCATTTTTAACAGTATGAGATATTTTATTGGCTTTTTGCTAGAACACCCCTCCCCCCGAGTTTGTTAGTATAGTAAAGCAAAAAATAAGAGTGGGTCGGCCATGTATTATTAATATTTGATTTCGTAGGAGCGTGATACCACGCAGAAATGGCAAAGCTGTACGTTTTACTTGATATATTGTATTTTCACTAGAAGTCGGTCCATATTTAAATGATGGTTTACATCAACAACGTTGTCATCGCGATTATCTACATAGCGGCTGTGGTATTATTAGGGGTTCTTGAATGAATCTTAAGAAGAATACTTACACCTTCCTTCTGTATCATCAACTAAAACGAACCCTTTTTTTTGCCCAATTTGATCCTTCCTTCTGTATCATCACATCATGTTATGGGTTTATGAACGGGTGGGCTTCTGTAATAAGCAGGAACAGTTGCAGGGAAGAACATCTGTCTAACTCCTTCCGCCTTTATAATTGGCAATATGATTCCTGATGCGCTCTGCAACAAACCAATTCATTTCTCATTGAAGTTCAAAGTTTTCAGAGGGAAATATTTAAAAAAAACTCACATAGATCAGTCTTGCTCCAATCCAGATGCCTTTCAGAGAAGGAAATGGAAGCAATAGGCGACCAACTCCATATATTGCCACCGCAAAGAAATGGAGAACCAGACTTGATGGGCGAGGATTCAATCCTGAAAGCAAGGAGATAGGTCCATTTGAGAACACTCCTCCAAGGCTCAAATAATCAAAGCAAGCTTGTCGCATTTCCTTCCTGGCTTGATCTGGTGATGCACAAAAGACCTTGTATAATGCCCCTGCCAACGTGTTGATTGTAGAAGCCACTGGCTGCAGTTTGAGACGAACAAATTAGCTTTACCAAAAAAAAAAAATGGCTTTTAGGAATGTCAACATGAACTGAACATACTTTTCGCAGAGTATAAAAGGATTCTAGATACTTGCAGAGAGTTGATGCATCATTTAAGTCTTTGAGCGGCTTGAGGAGGTTCCTGAGAACAACAATATCGGACAAAGCTACGGTCATTCCTCCACCGGTGAGAGGGTGGCGCATGTTGAATGCATCACCCATTAGTAAGGCACCGGGTGTCGGGTGGGGAGCAGCAGGCATGCTTCTGTTTGGCATTGTCCTTACATTACCCTTTTCAATAGCAGCTATAAAGGCATCATGGATTTGCGGAGGAACCTGCACGAATATTGGTAATTCATCAGTTCAAAGCACTAGAAGTTGTAACATTGAGACAGTAACTCAAAATTTGTACCTGAGGCGCCACTACCGTCTTCAAATACTTCTCCATATCGCCATTTGATATAGAAGGAACCTTTTGACCAGGAACATCAACTAGACAACGGATCTCGGTACTGCTGATGGGATAGAACAAAATAGGAGAAGGATCTCCGAGAACAACATGCCCATGATTAGCAAAAGGGAGTTGGCAATTCTCAAGAACCAATCCCACAAAACAAGAGGGAACATCAACCTGCACAAGATAGAGCAGTTAATGGGCTCGGAATTTGAAGAACTTATTAAATATATTCACCCAGAATACTCTAGATTTCACAGTTTTGCAGGGAAATCCAATGTCTATTTTGGGATGCCACTGCATAGTTGAAACCTCCTTACCATTGGCTTGCAAAGAGAGCGGCGTAAGTTTGAGAAGCAGCCATCACAAACAATAGTCAGAGGTGCGTATGCTGTTTTCTCTTCACCATTTTTAGACTTATATTGCACTCCTTTAATCGTTCCTTTTGTTTCAAGCAGCGAAGTAACTGTCCCTTGCTCTAATCTCACACTACAAGAAATGGATACAGATCATCCCCAGATCACAAGAAACACGGAATTGAAGCATGGAGGGCGAATCAATGATGAATGTTTGACAATTCAATCAAAACTCTCTACTTTTGAAGAGCATTTTCATATCATAGAGTAACCCAGAAGGGTATTAAGGAAACTTAATGTATGGCTTGAATCATTACTTCTAGAGATCGAAATTAACTTTTAACATCTGATAACGGGACATTCGTAAGATCTTCAAAACTACAGGGGTCGTTGAAACTTATTCTTTAAGAATTCAAGGAGCAGAAAACAGAACATACTTGGGAAGGGAAGCAGCCTTCTCCCTCATTCTCTGTATGAAGCGCCCATTGTGGAAGCTTCTTCCAGATACATCAGAGTGAAAATTTCCCAATGGATAAGAAACTCGAGTGTTCTTTCCATCCTTGAAAAGGGCATAGCCATACAGCTTCTGTGCATCAATTTCCTCAACACAATCTGCAGTATAAACACATTTTTTCCTTAATGAGTGATGAATATCTTACTCAAAAAGTAGAGTTGGAAAAGAAATTTCCCAGGCCAAAACAAACCTCCAAGTCCTAACTCGATCAATTTGAGGTAACCACCAGGCTGTAAGAATTCACCAACGATTCTATCCGGCTCTGTCAAGTCTCTTTCAATCACGTGAACTCGACGACCATCCTACAAAATTCAATCTGATCACCCAATCACTTCATTGGTTTGTTCGTTACATGGACGAGTTACTTAGACCCCAAAGTTTTGTCCTCCTCCATTCCATTTTTTCATCTCATCCATAATTGATAACAATTAACTATGCAATAGATCCTTTAATTCCGAGGTTTTCTATGCATCAAATATCAACAGAACGCAAATACTCATAAAAAAAATGATCGACGCAAGTATGAGCAAGAGAAAGCGAGAACAGAACTACAGAACAGAATCAGAATCAAAATAAAGCGTTAAAACCGAGACACCTTGCCGAGAGTATAAGCAAGAGCGGAACCGGCAACACCGGCTCCAACAATGATAACTTCGGCGTCGGCATCGTCGGGTTTACATTCTCCATTGGCGATTGCAGTACTTATTACGCAGTCCTTACTCGCAGTGGAATCGGTTCCTCCCCGGCGATTCCTCCTCGGAGCAGCAACAAAGAAAGTAACCGCAACTACAAGACCGAGCACGACATCCAAGATCCAGGCAAAGGCGCAGTGATCCACCATCATTTCCTGGTTCCTGAGACTGCAACCACACAGAGATCGCCGCAGTCAAGAAGATTCGGTTATGCGGACTGAAGTTTGAGGAAGGGACGATGCAGTCGCATGGACACTTCCTACCAGAGTTCAAAATATTAAAACTTATATAATACATTAATAAAAATAAAAATAACATTTTATTTATTTATTTATTTGTAAAAATATATAATTATTTATTTAATTAGAGTAAATTGATAATAATTTATTCAATAAATGCCGGTACTGATTTACTGAAATTATTAACTAATTAAGTAAAGATATGTTAAAATGTAATGAATTAATTAATGAAAAATACTAATTTAGAAAAAAAAAATATTTTTGGAGTAATTATCATTAATTGTTTATAATCCGTTTATTAATATTTATTTATTACATTAATTTTGATTAGTTGGTTGCTTAATACATCATAATTATAAAATATTTTTGGGCATTTTATATCATAATTAAACATAAATATCATTTACTTTCATCAAATTAATTTATTTATTTTTCTTTTATTTTTTGAGATATTTTGCTAATTAAAAAAATTATTGATAATTACATGTTTGTTGATGATTAGTTGTTAAAAAAATTTTATTTATCCACGATTCATAATTATTCACAAATATTCAAAAAAATAAATTATTAATTAACAACCTAGTCACAACAACAAACGAGAATTTCAACCTCATAACATAGGTCAACATTATCATAATCATATAAAATATATTTAATTTTTATATAAAAAGAAAATTACTATTACGGTCGGTAATATTGACGAAAATAGTATAAGATATAGTACTAATTACGCTCGTTATTCTATAAATGTTATTTAATAATTTTTTACCCTTTTCAATTTTGTGCATGGTATTTATTTTTTTTAAAATTTTATGTCTATTCATCCCTTTTGAATAAATGGGTTCATTGGGCATGTTTCTGGACCTGACGAGCAGGCCGCCTAGTGCGCACCACCGTTTGAACTAAATCCTAATTATCTCAATTAAAGTTAGACGAACACGGCTCTTCACAATAGTATGATAATGACCTTTGAGCACAAGCTCTCGTGATTTTGCTTTGGACTTCTCAAAATATCTCACACCAATGGAGAGAATATTATTTGATTATAAATATTAGTAAATAGAAAATATAATAGTCGAGTCTCAACTCCTTTATTATATAGTAAATATATTAATCGATCGAAATTTTTTTTTTAACTCGTCGGTTCAAGTTGACCAATTAATATGAATTTGGGTGATAATTTCAGTCCGTCTAATTATTATTATTATTAATTTTTTATTTAATTATATTTATATTTTTTGGTGTCTTTTGGGGTGTCGGCAATAGAAAGAATTACCAAAAAGGGCACTTACATTTTATTTTAAGATCATTTAACTGCTTTTAGTTTTGCTTTTGCGAAATTAAATTATGATTAATTTTCTCTCTCGCCCACGGCCCTCATAAGGGACCTACTTGTCTTTTTACACTTTTTTTTTTCTTTTTTTAAGAAAATAAATATTTAATTTTTTGGGTTATGCTGAAGAACACTCCCAAAAGCATGTCCACCATTGAAAAAGTTTTATTTTAAATCTTTTAACTAAAAAAAAAAAAAAAACTGTACTCCAATTTAATACTTTTATTCCCAATTGGATGGACAGTACATCCATTCGAATTTAATTTAGCGAATAAAATATAAATTATTATTCTAAAATATTCATATAACTCATTCCTTCACTCTAAATAGGATACAAGCTAATAACTAATATCAACAAATAAAAAAAAATAAATTAATTAAATATATATACTATAAATCAAATCATAAAATGATAAATTACGTGACATATTGAAATGAAATCTAAAAAAAATTGACTCGTGATTTCGTTGAGTTGTCTTGTAGTGTGTAGCCAATGGTCATAGGAAGGAGAATTAGTTAGCCAGACCAAGGTCCATGGTTTTTTCACTTTTCCGACAAAATGTTCATTGGAGTGTCCGATCATCCACCGTCAACTCCTCACACGTGTCTTCATCTCCGAGCTTTTATTAACGTTGTCCCCACGTGCGCCTCTTGCCGGTGCAACCCCACTTCCCTTGTCTCAATCCCTCTTTAATCCTCAACCTTTTCTCCAAATTACTAATATGTCCCCACGGTTTTCACATTTTGTTGTTTGATTCTTTTAAATTTTATTTTTTTTATTTATAATTATTATCTCAACTTATTAATTTCTTTATTTTATGATTTTTTTTCGATTCAATTTTTTGAAAATTGAAAATTTGGTTTGCTAGTCAGTTCAACCCAATCAATCAAAACTCAACTATACTTTTTAAAAAAAAATGATAATATATAAATATTTAATATCTGAATATAATAATTTTGAAAATAAGATAATTAAAAAAGATTTAAAGAAAATAAAAATTATTATTACAACAAAAAAAACATTTTTATTTGGGTGACTCAATTATAGAAAATTTATTTAAATGTGACCTGTCAGATATAAAATTTAATTAAATCTTACAGATTTTCATGGTTTTTCTAATATGGAAAATTATTAATTCATACATACCTTAATTACTAATGACTATAAATATGTTCCATAATAATATTATTTTGAAAATCTAACCAAATTATTAAAATTAAATTGAAAAAAAAAAGTCGTATATGTAATATTATCCCGTGTGTATATATTTATTTCCTATAAAAAATATTATTTATTATTTATTACTAATATTAAAAGAATCGAATTTCAGAGCTTTAAAATGTATTAAATATATATATATAGACAAAATTTTAAATTTATTTTATAAATATAATATTTCCAGCGTTGCATTGAAGCGCTCTTTGGGGAAGCGTAGTGACAACGCTAGAGAAGAAAAAGGGTTCTTTGTAAAAACTAGAAAGGATAATTTTAATTTAATAATTTAATAATTTAATAATTTAATAATTTATTTATCAAAATATCAAAATACGACAATTATTACTTTTAAATACTTTTTAGTGAGACTTTCATACATTACCAAATTTTAATTTGTTTCCACCAATAATATGATTCAATATTTAAGCCATATATATATATATATATATTTACTATATTAAAAAAATTAAAATTTGAATCCTGAGAAATTATATATAAATATATTAATTACATTTTTTTAATAAAAATTATATATAAATTATGACGGTGAATTCTGCCCTAATATTAATATATAATATTTGGATTATTAGTTACACAATATATCTTAAATATTCCATTAATATTTTATTTTAGATTTGATTAGTAGTATATTTTATTTTATTACGGAGATCTAGTTAGTTTATGTTTTTCTTATGTTTTTATCTATTATTTGGAAGTCTCATTTCTATTTCTTATTCTTAACACCTAATCACAGCAAACATAAATATAAATGAAAAATTTTACTGAGATAGAAATGAAATAGGTGGCAGAGATAAAGAGCATCTTCTCTCCCGTCCCATGAACATCTGGGTCGATAATAATCTTTTTGTTTTTAATAATTAAAAAATAAATAAATATTTTTAATAATAATTGTAACTCTCATTAATTTTTTGAAACGATTGTTCTTGATTGTTAGGTTAGTAGAATGCGGCTGATGGTTTTAAGGAAAGAAATTGTGGCGGCCACTAAATTTTCTATGTCGCCCAGAAAAAAAATTAAAAAAAACAAAAAAAAACTCCTAATTTAGATAATAATTTATTTAATCTCCCTTTTCGCGTATGGCCATCCTTTTTGATCGTTTCAATTTGAAGCTCTGTCTGTTCCTCATTTTGGTTTAGATTAATTTCTTGTGAAACCAACAAAGAAATTGATCAATCCAAGATTGAATGGAAGGAGAAACAACGATGCGAATCTTCAATTACAAAACCCGGAAGCATAAATCTGTAATGTTTCTTCTTCGCCACTGTTGATTAAGAACACACACACAAAAAAAAAAAAAAAAAAAAAAAAAAAAAAAAAAAAAAAAAAAAAAAAAAAACCAAACAAACAAGGTTTGATTTCGTTTGTGTTTATGTTACTGGAAATTCTGGGTTCTTGTTCTGTTTTTTAAAATGAAAATTGTCATTTTCTGGCAACTGTTCATCTCGTTATCTAATAAAAGCTGAATTATTGTCCTTTTCCATCTGTTTCTCCGGTGGATCTATTTTCATTTCCAATTTTATTATTACTCTGTTTTACAATTTGTTTCAAACCAAACCAACAACACAACCTAGTACTCCTCCTCACTTCAATCCTGGTAAAAACCCAAAATCATCTTACATGTTTTTTTTTACTTCTTAAATCCTCTGTTTTTTGTTTTTTTTTTTTTTTTTGTGGGTTTTCCCTTTTCTTTATTTTCTCTCTCATGGAGGGAATCGAAGGGAAGCCGCGTTGAGCTGTTACCATCCCTTTTTACTGATTTCCATTTCTCTCTCTCTCACGCTTCTAGCCCTGTTCTTATTTATGTTCATACACCTTCCTCTCTCTTCTTTTATAACTCTGTATTCTATTTCAGCTGTAATCTTCCTTCCATTTTTTATTTTACCCATGAGGCCAAAATCTCTGTTTTTTGCCCTTTTCAACGTTTGAGAGTTGAAATCTGTGTGTGTTTGTGTGGAGAATTTGAGGGTTTGTCGGAGATTTCTGTTTTTTGAACTGGGTTTGAGGCATTGGCTATAGAAATGGCTAATTGGTGGAGAAAAGAGAGCCATAAAGGAACCCCTGTTGTTGTAAAGATGGAGAATCCCAACTGGTCAATGGTTGAACTTCAAGGCCCTTCCGATGATGACTTCATTATCGCCGCCGAGTCGCCGCCGGGTAGAATCAGAGAGAAAGGACGAGGAAAAAACGCCAAGCAACTCACTTGGGTTCTTCTTCTTAAAGCTCATAAGGCTGCCGATTGTTTAACCTCCATTGGCTCAGCATTGGTTAACATCGGCGCTGCTGTTAAACGCCGTGTTGCTTCCGGTAAAACCGATGCCGACCTCGACAACGACAATGACAACGCCGACAGCGGCGAGAGGGAAAACCCAACTGTCAAAACCAGGTTTTATTTGTTTATTAAGATTTTCCTTTGGGTGTCGGTGGGTCTATTAGG